ACATCACGGGTGCATGCTTCATGGCTGCATGCTGGATGGCAGGCACAACCACAGATATCAATGAGTGAGCTGCCTCTGCTGTTTCCAGGGTGGCCAGCACAAGTGGTTTGCAGGCTTGCTCACTGGCAACAAACGATTGCACATCAGCTGGAGAAAGGTATGGCAACGGGTGATTGGGCGGGACTTGTTCAGCAACGGTGAGGAACTCCCTGACGAGCGGGTTGTGCTGCATGCTCCATCCCAGCACCTCCTGCAGTGCCGGGGGCAGCATGTTGACACGGCACGTGGAGTCGTGTGCCCAATCCAAGACCAGCACTTCCATGCTGTGAGAGGGATCAGCTCCCCTGGCATCTCCCAACTGAGTACTCTTTGCCTGGTGTTACATTGGTGCGAATTGCTAGGAGGTGGGAACTCCCCGGATCGAATCCGGCTGCGAACATATCGCACACCAGGCATGATGCAGCATACTCTTACCCCAAAGGTGGATGCCCGGGCGGGCGGGAAGTCTACCAGCTGAGTAAAAACAAAGTCCTCCATCTCAGACGGGGACTGGCGAAATGTCACAATAACAAATACACAATCCTACGGGATCTCAAACAACATAAATCCTACGGGATATGCCCGGGGGCGCCCGAGGACGTTCGCTCGAGGGGGGGAGGAATGTGAGAGGGATCAGCTCCCCTGGCATCTCCCAACTGAGTACTCTTTGCCTGGTGTTACACATGCAATGCTGCTGCTGAAGCTTGCCAGCAACAAATCCAAAGGCTGCTGGAAAAAAACCAAGTCCAACATCCACTAGGCCTATCCGCAGTTGGTCGATGGCGTCCAAGGACACGATGGCCTTGGTATAGTCTGGTGGATGGAAGGCCAGATACTCTGCTCGCTCATTGCCACTGTTCACCGGATGCAATGGAGCACAGTGTGGACACAGGTGCCACAGGCCTTCGGGTGTGGTCGTGCTGCCGGCATGCAAGCTGTTATGGAATGAGTATGGCGCAATGCCAGCACTGACAGGCTCCACAGTGGCCCATCACTTGAGGTCATCGTGCAGATCGGTGCTGGTGACACTGCACACGGCGCACACCACAAGTGCACTGGCCAGCAGCACGCTTGTGACAGCACTCCAAGCCGCAAGCTGCACAGAGATGCCGAGGCTGTGGCCGGCGCCACTGCGCCAGGATGCTCCAAAGTACCCAGGAATGTGTTGCTCAGCATCTGTTACAGCAGGACTGGGTGATGGTACTTCAGATGGTCGACGGTGCTGCTGGCGTGTTGGCTGTGCAGCAGTGCTGCTGCGGCGGTGCTGCTGCTGCTGCTGCTGCTGCTGCCCCTGCTGCTGCTCCTGCCGCTGCAGCTCCTGTGGGGGCTGCTGCTGCAGCTGTGCTTGCTGTGATGACTGCCGTGTTGCTGCAAGCAGGCGCCGCATGTCAACCGCAGGTCCGTGCTAATCAGCCCATTCCGCCAAGACCTGCTGCACAGTGAACTCACAGCGGCTGTCCATCCCATGGACAGCACACACTTTACCAGCCCGCTCAGCTGACGGTGTTTCTGACATGCAGAGGCCAACTGCGCGACAAGCCGCGACGAGATGCTGGTGGTGTTGCCCTGTCCACACACCTGGCACCATATCCAGCAGGCAGTAAGACACAGGGGTGCCAGCGAGGCCTGTCTGCCAGATGAGGCACACTTCCGTTGGCGCTGTGCTGGTGCCCCAATAGCAGATCTGCAGCCCATCCGGGTCAAACACTGTAAGCGCAATGTTGAGAGCATGGGCAAGAACTGCCAGCTCCACATCGCCCGGCAGCAGCCGGTGCTGCTGTAGGGCTTCTCCATAGGCTGCTGGCATGGGCATGTAGCACTTGAAAGCACATCGAATCCCAAGACTCGGCAATGGTGCCCACCACGGTCGCCAGCAGAATTTCAGGCGCGGGCACATCAGTGGCACCCGCGGCAATGAGAGCATGACACACACAGTCCAAACACGTTGTGTGGGCATTGTGGGCATCGAGCGGCACGACAGCACAGCTGCTAATGTCGCTGCGAGCATATAGTGGCACCGGGAGTTGCCCTGCATAGCAAACATCAGCAGTGTGCCCCGTTCTCAAGATGATGCGTGTAGACTTGGATGTAGCTGTGAGCAGTGCCTTCAGAACAGCCCTAACCGTATTTCCGTGAACTGCAGCATAGCCCGTGACACTCCACGGATCACATGCCCACATTGGCACACGCTTACCGGTGCTGCAGGATGGCTCTGCATTCCCAACACGAACGCAGGTTGGTTGTAAATCGATTAGCATGGATGACGTGTTGGCTGTTTCGGTATCCGCAGCCATCATGTGTATGCAGGGGGGGGGGAAAGTTGGGGGAAACCCCCCCTCACTTCTGCGGCACCATGCGGACCTGTCGGATGGGGTATTATGCAGCAGACAGTTACACAACCATTATAGCTGTATATGGACACGGTTGGCGGTTGAAATGCACCTCGTCATCCCACTTTCCATGGTCACCAGGATAGGAAATGGCATCATGTTACATTTCTTGGTTACTGAATAGAGGCGGACTAATGTGGGCAGGTACCTGATGAGCGGTCCTTCGATATACCACCGCCATAACCACAAGTATGCCGCCCCTTGGTTCTCACCTTACCACGTTGCCGTTGCCCAGAAGCATGCCGCGTCTTCATCTGCAAGGGCACAAGCATGCTTGGTTGATTCTTGAGATGCGACCCCCGGTCTTTCGTGTTCGGAAGCCTGCACTCGTGTACCGGATATGTTGGCGATATTGCATAGACGCTGCAGCTCGGCTTCCGTGCGCAATGCGTAAGATGGTCGACCCCGCCGACCAAAACTACACCTGCTCAGCTGTAGATATTCCCGGTGGATGTTCAGCAGCGCTTGAGCTTGCTGCTAGCTGATGTCCTTTCGGAGATGCTGCAACACGTCTAAGGCAGGCACGGCAGTATGCGCAGCAAAAAGCTGTTCCATGCCAACAACGGCGTCCATGTTACTTGCACGGTTCCGAACGACTTATCTGTTCTGTTGTTTAAGTTGTGTATGTTATATTTTTTTGCGCAAGTTTGTAATTTGACTTTACGCTGAACAAGGGGCTGTATGCGTTGCGCTACCGAATCCGCGCCCGTTTGCTTGCGCAAACTGCCGCTTCGCCAAACGCTTCCTCTTCCCGCGGCCGTTTCAAGCGCCCAGTCTTGCAAGCTACGTTGTTTGCTTTCTGTGCTTTCAGTTACGGCAAAGCAGGCACCCCACTGTCCGGGCTGCATGCCGCGTGCGACTGTGGCCAGCATGCCCTCGTGCGCACCGCGCTGACGCACCGCGGCCTTTCTTCGCCAAGAAAATTTATATACACTTGTGCACGCGCATTTGGTTGGTTGTGAATCGATGAGCATGGATGACGTGTCGGCTGTACCGGTATCGCACACTGAGTCATCAACAGGATGGGCTGCACGAACGACTGTTGCACCATGCAGACCTGTCAAATAGGGTAATATGCAGCGGACGATTCAGCAGGCGTTGTAGCTATATATGAACAGGCTTGGCGGTTGATATACACTCATGATCGCACAATTCGCAGTCGCCAAGATAGGAAATGGCATCAATTTTTACGGTTACTTACTTCCTGAAAAAAGGCGGACTAATGTGAGCTATACCAAGCAACAGGTCCTGCGCCACTGCCTCGACCTATGACACCTCTTCATCTTGCCTTACCACGTAAACGCAGACCGACACCCGTCGACCAGAAGTGCGCCGCGTCTTGATCTGCTGGCGCACATGCATGCTTAGTGGACCGCTGAAATGCGACCCAATTCATTTCATTCTCGGCAACCCTGCCAATGCGTACCAGATATGTTGGCGAAGTAGCAGAGTCGCTGCACCTCGGCTTCCGTGCACACTGCGTAGGATGATCGACCACGCCGACCAGAACTGCACGTGTACAACTGCAGAATTTCCCGGTGGGTGTGCAGCAGTTCTTGAGCCTGGTGCTGGCTCAAGTCCATCCGGAGCTGCTGCAACACGGCTATCGCAGGCACGGCCGTATGCGCAGCAAAAAGCTGTTCCATGCCATCAGCACCGTCCATGTCGCCGACTAAACTCTGAAGCCCTTTTCTGTTTTTAAGTTTAATTGTGTTTTGGTATGTAATCTTGCGCAAAATTATATTTTGACTTGACTCTGAACAAGGTCCTGTATACGTTGCGCTCCCAAAGGCGCGACCGTTTGCTTGCACAAAAGTGTCGCTTCGCTCAACGCTTCCTCTTCCCGCGGCCGTGTCTGAGCCAAGCCTTGCAAGCTACGTTGTATGATTTCAGTTCTTTTAATTGCGGCACAGGAGCCACCCACATTTCCGGCCTGCATGCCGCGTGCGGCTGTGGCCAACAGCGCGACGCTGGCGCACCTCGTCCTTTTTCGCCAAGAAAAATTACATACACTTGTACAGGCGCATTTTGCGAATCGCACGCGCGCATCCGCGCGGTGAAATTCGCTCCTGGCTTTTGGGACGAAGTACGGCCCGTTTATTCGGCAGAGTACGACCGGACACATTTGTGCGAGGGGCTGCTTAAACACACACCGTCTCTCCCCTTCCCATCCCGGAGCTTGATGCCCTGCCGACGCACAGTGGCATTCGGTCATTCACACCATAGCGGGGTAAGTACGACATACTCATACACACACGTACACACAAACATACGTTTAGGGCTCAATTCTCTATCAGTTCTCTACAAAGCCACACCGGTCCACCCGTGGAGAGACCTTGGCGGTCCTGCGTGTCTGTCATATCGTCGCACACGCAGTAATCACTATCGCGTCTCGCCCGGCAGGTAGTTAACCGTTCCCGTCCTGCAGACCCTCCAATACCCCACCGCCCTGCCGCCGAATAAACCCTAAGTCGCCCGCAACACCCAGATGCCGAATACCTATGTCCTAGGTTTCTGACGTTGAGTTCGTGCCTCCCCCTCATTATTGAGTTGCAAACAAAACGTGCGTTTTCAACAGCGATATGAAAGAGGTGAGCTGCATAAGAGAAGGGAAATATCCGAAGTTCAGCACTGCTGTGTCTATCCTAAGATATTAGTCGCCAAATGCTGTACCTACCTACCCACCCACCTAAGGCTACAGCCCCCTTTAGCGGCCTCCTCCTGTCCCCACACGCGCTGCAGTTTCCTCCCCCGCAACCAGCACACCTGGGATCTGCTCGAAGCCCCTGTGCACATCACCCTGCTCCCGAATAGGGCGGACTTGTTAAAGACGGTGCGAGTGAGAGTGCGAGTGAGTGCGAGTGTGTGTGTGTGTGTGTGAGAGAGAGAGAGAGTTGCGCAAGTCGTCAGAAGGCAAGGTACACCAGCCAGCCAGCCTCCCGCAGCTCGTCGACTCCCGACACAGATAAAACACGCACACTGGGTCAGGTGAACCTTAACCAACTCCACCTCGTCCATGGCACCCCCGGCCTTTACGGACACCCCAGCACTTGCGTGCGGAACTTGTAACTTGTAACAATACCACACACGGGCCGCATCAGGAAGCCGAATCCCTCAACGTAGCAGTTCGCAAGTGCGTGACAACAATTGCGGGACGCAGCCCAATGTAACCCCCTAGGCGTATTTTATGTAACCCAACCCAACCCAACAAACCTCAACACAAAGCCAAGCAAACCCGCACGCGGTAAACAAAATATGTACGAAGTACAACACCTTGATCA